TGTAGGTTCCCTTCAACTTCCGTATTATCAGCCATAGTACTGTAGCCATAGTACTGTAGGTTCGCTTGAGCTGGTTACTATAGGTTCACGTGAACTTATGTACAATATTTTTCTCACGATAAATCAGCATCAGCCGATTTATTAGCCGTAAAAACCATCGACCGAACAGTTGATCACCTATTGCCACATTTCTTTGCCAAAACATTACCAAATGTGGGATTAAGAATCTAGATACGTCTATATTTACAATAATTTTTTCATTATAATTTATTGGACAGAGTAATGTAATTTAAGAATAACATAAATATATGTTAATTTTTTTAAAAAAATGCAAATTATTTCTATGAATTCCAGACATCAAAGAAATATATGTTAAATTGTTCACATATTCTTCAGAAAATACAAAATCCACAAATTGCTGCGACATGAAGGGGGCGGCGCCCGCGCACCGTGTACGCAAGAGACAAGATCGGTGGGGGCCGCCCGTGTCAGCAGCGCCGCCAGCAAGCGGACGGACAGACGGGACATCGGGATGGGCCGGCTGCGAGTCGAGACGGTGCGGGGTCTGCGGCGACCGGCGAGGACGGGACAACTAGCGCGCGCCGACATGCATTTTAAATGCATTTTATTGTCAAATTTATATGCATTTTAAATAGTCAATGCGATGCTATCATGTACAAATAATGCATTATAAAAAATATATTCTACCTTAATTTTGGGAAATTATTGATATAAGCAACCTAAAAGACACGTACAATGCATCTGTAGGTTTGAACTGTTTAATTCGGAGCTAAGGAAAGAATAGTAATTTCGCGTATAACTTAACGTCGTTATCCTATCCAACTAATGGAAGGGCCAAGAAACCAAACAAATCTCATTTCAGGGCCAAACAACTACGTTCGACAAAAAAAAAAGACCAAAAAATTAAGAGGCACTTTTTTTGGGGCCATGGAAATAATTTCCTCTCTATATATAAAGAGAATTCCTTGTGCCTATCCATATGTTTGTTTGTTACTTTGTTTGTTTTGTGGGGGAAAACGGAAATAGGAGTTTAGATGGCAAACTCCAACTAATCACTTCTCCGAAGAGGGGTGAGAATTGTGCTATAACGGAAGATAAATGTATTATCACCGTCGATCATGATTTATCTAATATAAATTCCCACTGAAAAACACCAACACCGAACAGGGATACGTCTCTTCAACCCTCCCTCTTATTTCCTTCATAATACAAACAAAGAGATTGAACAAAAAAATCGAATTCGCACCTTAATTTCTCTCTCAATTCCCACCACTACAAAGCCTCGGCCCGCTAGAATAGCAAAACAAAAATTGTCTCAAGTGGGCTGGGCCAGGACAATTGAAATGTGGAATCGATGCGCGGACGAACCAGACCTTCGTGAAAAGTTATGGGTGTGTCCAACTTGGGCTGCATTGATGCCGTTTAAGGGCCCACAGCTCAGGGAAAATGGGTGCCAAACTGTTTGTTCATTACTCTGGAATCCAAGGTTTGCTGGTTTGGGCTTCCCGTGGCGGTTGGGCCCAAGCAACACCCAGTTAATTCACCGCTGTCGTAGCGGCCCACTCACGTCCGCGTCAGCAACCGCAATCTGCGCCGGCCATCGGGCCATGAGTCTCCTCCTGCGCCGCGTTCCGAGTCTTCCGTGCACAGCCGCGACCACAAACCCTGGATCATGGCGCATGCGGCATGCCGCCGCAGCCGGACCCGGACGAGTCGCTGTTGCCGCACCGGCAACACGGCGCGGCGCCGCCGCATCCGCGTGACGGCGAGAGGCGAACCAACCATGCGCTGGATTCCTCCTCGCCCCCCTGCTGAGCACGACGTGTCCATGTGAATGGCCGAAAGCCCACGCCTTCCTCGTTGCCAACGGCAGTGCCGGAGCCAGAACAGGTGAGACGAGCGTGAACTCGTTCGTACTCGTACCATCGTACGCGCAGTGCCCCACCACACCACCGCAGCGTCGCCGCGACCAGTCTTTCTTCAATTTGTCCCTTGGCTCTCTTGCTTTGCCCGGTCAAAAGCTCAAAAGCTGGCAGCGCGACAAACGTCCGACGCAGGGCGACGCGTGTCGCGGCGCCGGCCCTTGCGCGGTGGTCTCTGGGCTGTCCTGGCCTAACCTATGGCACCGAGTGCAGTGGTCGGTCCATGCCATGCGCCCATGCCGGCGTGCCCACCCTTGCCCTTGCATGCGTATCTGACGCCAGGAAGATGGCGTTCGATTGCCGCGTCCCGCTCGTGCTGGCCGAGGCAGAGACACCGGGGCCGGGGCTACACCGCCGCCGCGTGTACGTACGAGCCACGAAGCCGTCTTGTTCGTTCTTTCGTCGGTTTCATCGGATCAACAGTATTCACAATAAACCCGTACCAGACTTATAAGTCAAAAACCAAGCAGCGAACAGGAATATGGTAGTACACCGCGGTACGGACCACGACGGAGTGCCTTGGACGATGGTTCACAGGCAGGGCGGCATAAAAAAGAGCGACCTCGCAACGCGACGCCGACGCGCATGGGCATGGCAAGAATAGTGGTTAGAGATGCAGGAACAGTGCGTTTTTTCTGTGTATTGTATGGGCTCGCTCGGCTGACACGAAGATTTTACTATTCATGGCTGAAAAACTGTTTACGGCTGAATTTGTGAGAGAAAAACACCGTTCCAGATAAAAAAAAGAAACGGATCAAAGTAATTATATACTTGTACTACTACTAAACCGCGCGTCAGATCTGGACGCGTCTCTCGGATTTTCTAATGGCAAACGAGGAGAAAAACCTAATCCCAGTCACTTGCAACGCAACCGTCCAGCTACTCCAATCGTGAGCGACAAGGGAAAGGATTCAATCAGGAGTATGTGCAGTGTCTCGGTGAAGCGATGGCACATTGGCACCGCCGGAGCAGCTCGTACAGCCTATCCCTGTGCTTTTTTAGGTGTGATGCTGTTGGAAAAGCGAGCAAGGCTGATGAGCTGCGAAAGACTGCACCTACAAGGAAGTGAACATGACGAGATCATGGATCCGGGCAATGATGCATCTCGTTCTTTGGCGCAACAGCAGTGCACCGAACCAAATCTTACGGACGCAATGATGCTTGTTCTGTATCAGTACGATACAGGGAGGCACGGCATTTGAATGCTTGCATTGCGTCCATGGTTAGGTGGCACACAACCAGAAACACCGAGATGCTGCATGCAAAGAGCTCAAAACACAGGGTGGTTTCATTCATCCCAAACAGCACTCAAAGAATATCATTTGGTCCCCAGCAATCAAGCTAATCCAACTTCACTACGCCATAAAAAATGACGCCATCATATTCATGCCAAGATGATGCAGTGTTCGCTGGTCAGCAATCTCATATTGCATCACTCCAGATTTATCACTGAAACTGTTCAACCACCATACATCAAACCAGGCGTACTGCAGCAAAAGCAATAGCCAATGGGATTTGAAACAACAGACCCGGACAGGACTCAAGCCAGAGAGGAAAAACAGCCTATACTGATGAATTATTGGCAAAAACCAAAAGAATTGTTAACCATCAGAAAGCAGCGGGAGGGCGCTGCAGCTGTGACGGCGAACAAAAGTATAGTCATTCGGGGAAAGGCCTACATAGCTACCTTTACAGAGCTGTTGCTTTGTATGTATTGAGCTTCGGAAGTTTTGTATCCGGTATACTACTCTCAACAAAGCTATCTACAACAAATCTCATGAGCTCGACAGGCTCGCAGTAGGTGTTGCTGGCACTGCGCTGTTGTGCGTCGAGTTGGTCTTGTTCTCACCCCAATGCCATAGCATGCTCTCCCAGAAGCAGAACTTCTCAAAGCAAGTTTTCAGCCTCGGATCAGTTATGTTCCGTTTCCAATGCCCATCAGTGAAGTTTGCTTTCTCAGCCTGCCGCCGCTCCCACTCCAACCCAGCCTTCAACCTTGACCTCAGAAGGCAATAGCTCTGAAGCTTCTTTGGCATCTTGTTGTGCACCTTCCACCAGCGAGCATGCGCAACATCACTCGCAAACTCCCGCAGAATTTCAACATTCCAGTTGCAATCGTAGTCCCGGAAGCATAACCATGGCTTCCGCCCCAAGTAGTGAAGAACATAGAGGATCGGTGGGTTAGCACCAAACAACCGAGTCTTCTTGGCCTTCACTTCCTCTTCATCACCCTCCCAGAAATGCTTCAAGAAATTCATGTGTTTTGGAATCCGATGCCACCATGTGAATATCTCATTCAGGTACCCTTGATCACCACCGTTGTACGATGTTATCTCATTGATGTGCTCCATCAGTAACTGGAATGTGCAGTTTGAAGGCTCAATGACCATCACTCCGGAGTTGAAGAGTGTTGCATTGTTCCCACTTGCAGTGATTTCAGGCATTGCAAATAAGAAATCAAGGTTCCTCAGGATGATGAGATCAGCATCAATAAAAATAACCTTGTCATAATCTGTAAGCTGCCATAGCCTGAATTTGCTGTAGTTCCATTCGTTGTAGGCATCGCGTTCAGCTTTGGGATTCCGGATCCTCTCTATTATTCTGACCTTCCACCCCGCAGATTCCAGCCCCTTGCGGTGGTGGTCACTTATGGTGTCATCAACAAGAATAACAAGGTCCCTTGTTGATCCTGCTTGACGAATGCTTTGAGCAGCTGTGATCGCACCACAAACATATTCACTTGCTGAATGCAGTATTGTAGCATATGCTTCTCTGCGTCTATCTACCGTGTAGAGTCGTGCTGCAGAAGACAGGAATTGTTCATGATTCAGGTAAAAAACCCTTAGACATTTAATACGTATATTTTGAGTTTCTTTTTCCAACAAGTTTAAAGCAAGCTAGACTTGTATCCATAGATAGTGTTGGAAAGTTCATGCATGCATTATAATCTATAGAGTTACTAGGTTTTTTTGGATATGTGCATTAGGGTACACTAGGGAAATAATGAGCAACTTCTTATGGGAAGCTATTACAAGCTTGATACATTAGTTAACTTACCTTTTGCATTGAGTGGAACAGCAAGCTCACAGGAACCAACAGGCAGCCTGAGCTTATCCTTTAGAGCCTTCACGTCAGGTTTGTACAGCCAAGCATTGCCTTCACGTTTCACTAGGTCCTTGCAAGAGAAGAGATTTGGAATTGGGAAGCAATCAGTCACAAACAGCACATGGATTCCACTATTGCCTCTTGCTGTGGCTGCCGCTAATTTTGCTGCTGATAATTGCAAATGCAGCCTTGCAACATCTCTTGACCAACCAGCCACACGAGAACAGGGAAGCTTAACAGCAACAACATCAAAGTGTGTCGCTCTTGGAAAACTTGGATCTGGAAGCGAAGGGCAAGATGGTATCTCTGTTTCTTCCTCCTCATCTATCCATTCAGGATAGAGAGTCTGCCAGGTAATGCTTTCATTGGCATGCTCTAGCTTTATGATTGAAAAATCACTTTCTGGGAGCATATGTGTCCAAGCGCCAAACTCAGTTCTATTAAAATTCAGGAGTCCAACACTGAGCTTTTGTTCACCAACATTCAGATGTTGGATACTTTTATATACATCCTCCCATTGAATGGTGGCAGAAGATACATATCGGGGATCAGAGCTTCTCTTATCCCATATCCACCCATTGACAAGCCTGCAAAAGCATCATGGACAGCATAAGCACCACATAAATAGACATTGTATGGTTATATTAAAAACTTCATGGCTCAATCACGAATACATTACACCATGAACTAATGGGGAGGTATCATGATTCTCTACTGCATTACTGGATATTGCGCGCATGTATACTCACCGAGAGCTTGACTGCAACTGATGTTCATACACAGATGGTGTGTATAGGAGTGTTAGAAATGCAGCAGACATGATAGCGAAGAGCAAAAGTTGCAACGATCGGAATTTGCAACCGGAACTTTTCTCCAGCACAAAAACATCAAATTTTTCAACCTCTTTGAAACTTTTGCTTTTCTGGGCCCTTCTCTTAGCTGTGTCCTCACTGAAAAGGTAGAAAGAAAACAATGTCAGGACAGCAAACTCTTCAATGCGTGTATTTTAACAACAATTAGTAATCCTAATCATCACAAAAAAAAAAAAATCGAAAAACAACATATTGGATTTATGTAACAACTGTCTGTGGATAAAAGGCAGTCATCACAGAATGGAAGTCAATGTAGGTTCAAACCATTTATGATGATACTAGAGTACAGAATTACATCAGGCGAAAAATTACAGATGGTAAATTGCTGAAGAAATAAGTGCAATTTCCAGCTCATGTGATCACTGTGTTTTACCTAAACTGCTTACAGATTTTCAGCAGGTCCATGCCAAAATAATTACAACTACATTGTTGAAATGATGACACTAGTCCGAGGTAACAAAACCTGGTCCCAGCTTTTTACTTCGTAAATCTTAGTTCTAGAAAGGTAAAACTAAGTAGTACTGGTGCTGGTGTTTAACTTTTCTAGAAGATTGCATTGATCTTATTTATTTAATGTTCTTGCTTGGGAGGAGATGAATCCACTGACATGTGGCGGCCTCTGTGGACAGTACTGCCTTTTAATACTAAAATTAAAGTATTCAAAGCACATCTTTTTGAGAGGAGAAACTTTTTGCAGTATCACTTATGTATAAGAGTAAAGTGCTCAATCAAACAAAAATTGTTTGGCTATAGAAGAAAAAAGGCTAAAGGAAAAAAAACCACACCCAGCACTGAGAATTAAAAAGGAGCCAAAAGAAATTAGTGGCCTCTGTTAATGTCGAGAGCTCTACTTTATTAGTCACATCTTTTGGGAAAGCAGAGCATACAGGAAGATGACTGGTACCTAACCCTCCATGTTCTTTGATACCATGAAACACGCAACGAAAAAGCCGCACGGATGATTCATCCCGGCTACAGAGAAGAAGAAACCCTTTTCTTCCCAGTACTAGGGTAACATCATGAAGAAAATTTGGTCCAAACATATTGGACCCGACCAAGATAGCCGACATCACCGGTAGGGCACACACGAAAACCTACCATTTTCTACACCTGGACGCTAAGCACGGCAATTCAACGGTCCAGGGCCAGAGGTGACACCAAGCAGCAGCAGTAGCTGACCTGCTCAATGTGGCCTTAACAGACACTGCACATGAAGCTAATGCTTGCAGTGCAGGGATTTAAATAGGGCTGCTGCCACAAGGTGCAGTCTTTGGGCAAAACAGCAGGGCGAGCACATGGATGGACACCGACGCCAGGCAGCGTGCTTTACAGCAGAAGAAACTGCTCAGCTCGAAGCAAATCTTTGTTGCTTGTTAGTAGAATCCTAATATGGATCGAAAATTGCCACAAAAGAGTGTAACTTTCGACCAGGAGAACCGTGAAAATCCCGACGAGTGTGAGAGACGGGCAGATTTACACGTTTGAAACGCATCGACAGCAAACCACCAGCAGCCACACATATCATCTGTGGGCAGAAGGGGCAAAGTTCTTGCTAGTTTCTCAAGCTGGGGATGGCAAAATGGGAGGAAGAACGGACCGACCGGTGGAAGATGTCATAAAGGCATAACCACCACTACCAGCGCCACCTACAAAATCAGGGGAAGTTATGGAGGAGGGGCAGGGCACGGTGAACGGAACGGCGACCAGAAGGGAAGGGACGGCATCTTGTACAGGGTACATGGCACTAGTACCGCAACACTCCCTCCCTGCTGCAAGATTACATGATAAGAATGGAGGATGGTCGCCATCTCACCACAGACACAGGCATCAATACCAGGCTTAGATGCAAATCAATACAGCACGCAGCACATGACCGCACATGGTAAAGCAAATGGCGCATCTGAGACTGAACCTGGATTAGCACGCTATCCACAGTCCACACCAAGCAGAACCAGCTCAAAAGCGTGAGCAGCAAGCGGGGTGAGGTGAGTAAGGAGGAGGGGAGGTAGATCGAGACTCGAGAGGGAGGGAGATCTTACGCTGCCCCGGCCGGCCTGTACCGGGCCTCCAAGGAACCCATGCGCTTAAACTCCAGGATCCTTCTCGGCGTTAACCCCGACGAAGGCTCAGGCCGACCACGCTTGCACCGCCCAGGTTGCGCCGCTTCTCATCTGCAATGGAGACAAGGGACACGTCAGGGTCCGCTAGCTTTCGCAGTTCATTAAAGCAAGCAAACAAGAAGATGCCAGGATGCCACAGGGCCAGACACAATAAAAGCGGAAATCTTCGTGAGACGAAGCATGAAGGGCATGAATGGGAGCAAGTCGGTTAGAAAGGAGCAACAACGCGCGGTAAAGCAGCGAACCGCAATCTACCAAGAAAGAATGCAACAAATCAAGCAAGAAACCAGGGAGGGAAAAAGGGGTAAATCTGCTGCCGAAAGGGAGCGGAGGAACGCCAAATCGAGCAAATGGTGGTGCCAGACACACTACCATACCACCAGAGGAAAAAGAACACGAAACGCCAAGAACAGATCAAGCGCCTCCCAGCAAGAACGCATCGGAACCAGATGAAAGCGCGGCAAGAACCGATGGCGGCACAGGCTGACGACAGGCAGGGCGGCGCGTACCCGGAAGGCAGCCGGCAGGAGGGCAGGACAGGCAAGCGGGCGGAGGCGGCGAGGGCTTCAATGGCGAGACGAGAGCAACGGGCGGCAGCAGGTGCGGTGGGACGCAGGCGGCCGATGCGGGGTGAGGTGGCGGCTGGCTCCGGTTCGTCCTTCCTCTCTCCCCTCTCTTCTTCTACAGAGTTCTGGGTGGGCTTGCAGAGTGGAGCAGGAGAGGAGTTGTATATATAGCAAAGATATATAACCCCACTGCAAAAGCAAAGGGCGAGCCGGTTTAAGCGAAGCAAGCAGATGAAAATGGGAAGCGCGAGGCTGTTTAACGAGAGTAATCTACTAGTACTATATTGCCCCCGTTTCCTCGGGTGGGCCCACGTCGCGTACGGTCGCGGCCAAATCTTTGGTTCCGGAGGGGCCCGGGGGGCAGGGTGATTAGCGGAGTCGGTGAGGATGGTTAGCTAAAGAAGGGGAAGCTGGTTGATGCCCCACGAAAGAGGGAGACCACGTTCTTAGCTTATGACGAAAGCTGGCTTTGTAGTGGTAAAAACGAAAGATACTACGTGGATTAATGCACTAGCTAAGAGTGTGACGAGCCGCGGATGCTGGATGGGAAAAAGAGCTAAATAATAAAGATTTAGAGATAGAGCTAGAAATTAATGATGATTTGAGGCTAAATAACCATGATCTAATAAAGAAATCAGACTCGCTAGTGGGCTGTAGCCCCGACAGCCTCCCTTTGGATCCGCCCCTCAGTGTGACTTGTGTTTTTTAGTTACTGGTTAGTGCTTACTTGTGCAAACCATCACATGCCTAGAATGACAAAGGCGGTATGTGAATCTGGTGAGCAGCTACTTACCTTAGCTTGTTCATTGGTTGATTTCTGAACTGATAAGTCCGGCTGATGCTAGTTTATTGTGAGAGGAAAATATTGTACCATAGCTGATAAGCTCTGGCTGAAACCAACCAGCGAACAGGCTGACTAACTCCTGCTCCGTTTATGCCATTATTACTTCTTTTGATTTCGAAGTGCAAGTCATAAGGGTTAAGTATCTCTCTAGATGTACGTTATTCTACGGTTTTCAAATATACTTGCGTCATTTCTTCATATTCTCATCATCAAATTATGACAATCTGCCAAACTTTTACTCGTTCTCAGGGTGTTTAGGAGAAAAGCCAGTAAAACGTGAGGATGGTGAACACTGACAGTAGTACTTATCTCCCGTTCTTGTAAGCTAAACTACTGCAAGTGGTCTAACTTGACCGACTTTGACCAATTGACTTGTGTTAGATCAACTTGACGACGTGCTCAGGAATTTCAGTGTGAAGCCACGCTGGAGAAACACGTAAAGTACAGCCAATCGTTACCAAACTTAACGCTGCCGCCTTTTGATTTTTGAATGATCTGGCTTGTTAGTGGTGCTCACTTGTTAGGAATCTTCCTGTGGAGTCTCATTGTACGGTGTCAAAGGCATGATGAGACAAGCCATTTCGCTTGAGCTTTTGTTGTTACAGGAACTTCAACACGGTTTAGACATTTTAGTTGCAGTTCAGCTATTGCCTCACTGTTTTCATGTCATATTAAACGGGTCGGTGATTGTTCCAGCTCATTGCAGGCAAGGACAAAAACAGTGGGACCGAGAGTCAACTGACGTCTGATTTTTTACGGCGGAGTCCCGAGTGCCCTATATGCTTTTACTACCTCACCAATAAAATGTCCATGCAACCCGAGCCACGACGGCTTGACACGAAGCACGTAATTTTGGCCCGGTCCAAGCACGGCACGGCCCGATGGCCAGCGGGCCCGGGCTGGGCCGGCTTGGTGGAAGCGAGCCGTGGCTCAGGCCGCTACTTTCGCAGATCGTGGTGGTTTGCACGCCGCAGACGCCTCAGTCCACAGCCTTGGCCCGGCCCGGCCGGCTTGCTAAAGCCCGAACCCCACCTTAACTTCCCAATCAAATATATACTTTTATCCTCATAACCCTAACTCCCTTTCCATTCCCATCCAAAAGACGCAATGGTAGCCACCACCTCCGTTCCCTCGCAGCACACGCTACGGACGCAACGCTCTCACGACATGCGGCGTGGACGCGGCCTTCTCCTTCTCCGCCGTTCACCTGCTTCTCCGCCCTCTGACCGCCCGCCACCTCCTCGCGCTGGTCGCAGAACGCATACAGCGGCCATCCGCGACCGCCTTGGGCTCTCTCCTCCGTCCTCCACGAGGCCACGCCTTGGGTGCAAGCGCGGCGTGCTCGAAACTCGCCAGCAGCCGCCGACGCCGCCGAGCTCCCTACTTCCCAGCGGCTCGCCGAATCCCCTCCATCCCCTCCTTTTCTCGTGGGATCCAACGTCGAGCGCCGCCATCGCCTCCCGCAGTCCCGCCTCTCTCTTTGCTCTCTGGCTCGTGGGCGGGCCCCGGTGCGCAGCTTATTGGATCGCCGTGCTCTCAATGGCTCACCAACACGCTTAAATCGCCCATAGGACCGTGCCTGGGCCGATGGCCAAGCATGAAGCCCGCTTCGGCACGGCCTAGGAGGCACGGCATGCGCGTGCCAGCCTGACTCCCATCGGGCCGTGCCGGCCCGTTGGACATCTATAACCTCACCTCACCTGCGCCATCTCATCTCTATTGCAATAGCAATCCGGTGGTCGTGCTGTTAAGCAGCTCCACCGACGTTCCATAATCGCGTCCTGGCAGGAAAGGATTTCCGTCGTAATCACGGTCGCAAGACCAAATGAAAATGCCAGAACGGAGAGAAAGCGAAGGCGCTGGCCGCTGGGGGTA